CTTCACTTCATGCATTTTCCTTCTCTGTAAATCCCGTCAGTTACCCTTAATGACCAGCGGTTATTCTGCGTGCGTACTACGTGCCCGACCCATGTCCATTTCTTCTCGATTTAAACTGTGATATACTCCACACCGATTCGTTCCCTGACCCACCCTGCTCTCTTCTTGTGTCTTAAGGTTGCACCTATCACTTTTCCTTTCCATCTCTCGCTGTGTCATCCTCAATTTAAGCTGAACCCTCCTTGTAAGCCTCCAGGTTTCTGTTCAGTAGGTAATTATGGGCAAGACACAGCTATTATATACCGTCCTCTTGAGGGTTGGTGAAGAATTATCATTCATGTTTTAAGAATGCTTGCCAAAAGTGATCCACTCATTCCTACTCTTCCCTATTCTTTTAGGTATTTTACTCTCATGGTTTGGCTTCACGATTTCTACCTCTGCAAGACATGTCTTGCTTAATGCAGGCACGAGTTCTTGCACAATTTTTTAGAACTTTGATAGTGTCACTCCCAACATGTACGTGGTATCAGTACCTGTTTCAACACTACATTAGCTGTACCTACCACTGCCTTGCAGCAGCTTTTACATTCACAGCAATCTATGCAAAATGCGAAAGAGAAGTGCTGCTAAATATGCACTACAACAAGCCTATTTGTTTCCTAGTTATATGCGATACTCTATGCAAAGTTTGACACATAGAGTGAAGTACGGCACCCCATCACATGCACTGTCCAAGAATTTTGAAGCCTGCACATTTCCTTTAAACTGAGTAATTCCTAAAGCAAGAAACAACAATCTGAGCACCGAATTTCATACAGCTCGAACATACCGTACGCTATCACTGCTTTTAAGTCTAAGGCTTCCATTTGTCCGCCTGGCATGATAGCATGGTGTTGTCACTCTGCCAACTGTGGAACTTCTTACGACTGGATGTGGGTAGCTTGGAAATCAATGGACTTTGTTTAGTCCAGTTTTATGAAAAAAAACAGACTCTTGAGCATGGTAAGACAGAAATGGTTGAACAAATTATGTTCAATAATTAAAGTGTCTTCAACCATACCTTGCGAGGATTTTGGCCCATGAGCTTGCTTTCAGTGATGACACATTCTCCGCTGACTTGAGGTAGGTTCAGAATTATGAGGCATCCAAGCGTACACTGATATGAATAGTTCTTTGAAGGCTGCGGTTGGGTTGTAAGAAAAAAACAGTGCTGGTTACTCTGGTAGAAGCGTGAACGGATTAGTGATGCATGACCTAGAAGAAGGTATATGGGAACACTGCATATAAGAAAGGTAGTGGGGTATAGCATTACTGTTTTTGTGAATTTGTCTTGTGGATGGCATTAAAATGAATTTGTTTTAGTGACGTTTTTCAGAGGACAAAGCTAGGTAATTCCCCGACTGGATGGACTATATGGTTCCTGCAAGTGTATTTTGCGTCATTACAAACTTACGAAAATTGTACAAATGCGTATATGTACTAAAGGTTCATTTGACTTTACTTTGTATTGAATTTATGAGCATGTATTCCAGTAGACTCATTTTCAGCAGAAACAGGTAGAACTTATGCTGCGATCTGTGCTACAAGTTTTAGCAGTAAAGATATATCAGCGAATGTAAAGATATATCAGCGAAGATAACATTCTGAACCCAGAATGTTATCATTTATTTCGTTTGCATCTTTTTGTGTTTTGGGGTCACGCAAGTTATCTGGCTCTTGGTCATTCAAAGATTCCAGATTTTTCGGTCACGCAAAGATGACGTTTTGCTCACAACCAAAGACACTGACGCAAGAGTTTCCGCAAAACGAGCTCATTAGATAAATTACGTTTAAAAAGCGAGGACACAGGGTCCTTGTGTTTTTTCCGCTATTTAACAATGCACTACAAACTAGTCCGACTTTCTGTATATTTACAGTGCGCCTTTTTCAGCAATCTTATTTACAAAAAACACCAAAATATCATACAATAATCTGTTTATTTATTTATTTTCAACACTGTCGACTCCAGTTCTGGAGTCAACACACAGGGCATATTGCGGATGGTATTCATTCATACAGAGCATAGAGTAACATTCTAAGTAACAAACGGGTTCATTTACACTATTGGTAAGTAACAACAAAATACAAGGAACAATGCATTCTCCATAGAGTGAAAAAGAAGGAAATATTCCCACCAAAATTTGTTATACACTGTTAGAAAACATGTATATATATGTAGCGCATCTGCAATATTGGCAAACCATCATAATAGTTGTTTTAACGAAAAAAAACAATATCTTCATTTTACCAGATGAAGACGAAAAGGCAGGCCTGATTAAGTACTGTGTGGCATTCCACAATGCACTGTGCAAAAAGAAAAAAAAAAGGAAAATCACAAAAGTATGCGAAGCATAGACGCACTACTTTATGTTTTGCATGGTTTCTAACATTGCGCTGAATGCGGATGGAGTGTCGGCCTTAGTAACGCTTCCATTCAATTTATTTCATTTACGTATTGTTAGTGGAAAACACGAGTTCCCAAAAATGCCGCTATTTGAGGAATATTCTTGCACACTATATTTGAGCTCATAACGAGTAGGGCGTGACTGTGAAAGCGTGACATACTTAGACACGTCTACCTTGTAGTGGCCATGCAGCAACTGGGACAGGAACCTCAGGCGCGCCTCTTTTGCCCTAGTAGTTAGTTTATCAGTGCCAAAAGAAGTGAGAAGGTTAGTGGGACAATCTGTACGTTTGAACTTGTTGCGTACAAACCATATGGCTTTGCGTCGCGCTGCCTCTAATTCACTAATACCTTTTAGTGAATAAGGAAAACATACTACTCTGGCATATTCTAATTCTGGTCTTACGAACATGGTGTAAGCCAAGAGTTTTGTGGGCACTGGTGCAATTCTCAGCCGTCTTTCTAGGTAGAAAAGTTTACGAAAACTTTATCCTTGCACAGTAGCGCCACCAGTCAACCCACTAGCCAACCAGAAAAGCCGTGTCTCGATCTGAAATATCATTTGATGGTGCACTCAGACAAGTTTCACAATTGTGAGAGACGGGTTGTGCTTCAAATATCTCTCGAACTATTTAACCTTATGTTCCCCTGAAAGAATCATATATTTGTGCGCAACAGCATTCCACAAAATGTACAGACCTGGATAACACACGCAGCTTTCGAGTTCAAAACCTAAACACTTTCATCGCTGCGCAACAGCGGCGGACAGTGGTATATATAAACATAATTGGTTTCAACACGCATTGACAAACAGTTAGCAAAGTGGCGAAGAGGTGCTTCATCTGTTGTCAACAATGGTCGAAAAAGAAAGATTGCTATACGCTCAGCGACGTCAACGCAGCACTTTCACTTGATAGTGTGCTGAAGTTTCTTGACTGTCGTGTTCGATCCCCTTGTTTCGCTGAAGGTAAAAAAATGCTGGCCGACGTCACACATCAGTCTTAACGGCATAAACGATTTCACTGCCAAAACAGCGAAAATACTTGCGCTGAGCGCCGAAATATCTGTTCTATTAGGCGAACCGCATAGATTTATTTCAAGTAGAAGAACCCGCATGTCTAGCGAACCTGATGTTGTAGAAGGACTAGCTCATGTGAAGCGGGTCTCTCTGTAAGGTGCTAGCACTTTTTCGCTGCGTTGCTACCCTGATGTACAGGCAAGGCCTTCATAGTTTTCGAAGTAACTACGCGGCAACTCGTGCGGCGAATGGAATGCATCAATGGCATTTTAGAACAGAGCTATGCCTGGACCAATTTATGTTTAGGTAAGGCAAACCGTAGTTTCGGTTCTAATAGAAGCACTCCTTTCTTTTCGTTCGCCGATCCTTGTTATTGTAGAATTCTAATGAATAAGGTCAGTTGCTTCTCGACAATAGCTTGTTCGTGTTAGCAGTAGCTAGTTAATATTTAAAGCAGATATATGCACGTCCACTACGCATACTACAAATGATATGCATGATATACGAACGAACACATATACATATGTACGATCAGGCTACGTACGCGTGGCATTCATGCGCGTGTTTGTGAGCGTGTATATACATACACACATATGAAATAGCTCCACCGTGGTGGTCTAGTGGCTAAGGTACTCGGCTGCTGACCCGCAGGTCGCGAATTCGAATACCGGCTGCGGCGGCTGCATTTGCGATGGAGGCGGAAACGTTGTAGGCCCGTGTGCTCAGATTTGGGTGCACGTTAAAGAACGCCAGGTGGTCGAAATTTCCAGAGCCCTCCACTACGGCGTCTATCATAATCATATGGTGATTTTGGGACGTTAAACCCCACATATGAAATCATCAACACATATAAAATAAAAAATGCTGGAGCGGGATGATTACAGCAGCTTAAATTAAGGCAGGGAAGCACTACGACTCGCATGGAAAACAAGCATATGCTAAAAATACATTCTCACGTGTCATGAAACAAATATTCTTAAGCGCTTACGCCTATATAAACGAGACTATTATCAGCGCTTAGAGAATTTCGAATACTGATAAAAATGCACACATGTTAAATAATGCTGTATTCACAGAAGATAACTAAACATTCACCCGCGAATTGATTAGAAGAAACCACCGCAGTGTCCGGCACCTTCTTTCCAATGCGTAAGTTTCTGGTATGCGCCGTTCACCGTCGCGCATCGTCTGCATCTTTCGCAGCGCGATTCGTCGCAAAGCAACTACTCGTCTCCGCACGACGACGGTACCCTATACGTGGGTGCGAGCATGGCCGGCTACGGCGACTACGGACGCTACAGCGACATGCTCATGGCATGGGGAGGCGGCCAGCCCGTCGACCTGTCGAGCCCCCAGGCGCGCTTTTACGAGGGCAGCAATCGGGAACCGAACGCGCTGCTCGACTCGGTCGCCGGGAGTCCCGGTACCTCGGCCGCGCCCCAGGCCTCACCCTACTTGCGCCTCCAGCCGCCCCGTGCGCAGCTGCTCCCGATTCCCATGGTGAGTACCATTGCCGCCGCGACAGTAGCCTGCGGCGAGAGCCAGCTGTCGCGCCACGCCATGGACCACTACCTGCGCGAGCGCGGCGACATGGTTCTAGTCATCCTGCACGCCAAGGTCGCCCAGAAGTCATGGGGAAACAAGAAGTGGTTCATCTGCCCACCTCCGTGCGTCTACCTGCTTGGGGACGGCTGGCAGCGCAGACGGGACCAACTGCTTCGTGCGGGGGAGAGCGAGGAGGGCGCCCAGCTGCGCGCCTTCATAGGCATCGACCACTCGGGCCACGATATTCAGCAGCTGGACTTTGGCGACAAGAACTACTCTACCACGAGGACGCTGTTCATCAGCGGCTCGGACAAGCGCAACCAGTTCATGCTTCACGTCAATCTGTTTTATGGCAATGGTGAGTCCGTGGGCGCGTTCCAGAGCAAGCGCATCATGGTGATCTCTCAGCAGAGCACGAAGAAGCACTTGCTGAACAACGCTGACCTATGCATCGCCTCGGGCACCTGGGTGGCGCTCTTTAACCGGCAGAGCTTGAGCACAGTGAACATGCGCTTCCTGCACGTCGATGGCGGAAACTTCTACGCCAGCTCGAGCCAGTGGGGCGCCTTCTCCATCCACCTGCTGGACGACAAGGCCGAGGTGCGCCACGGATACATCCACTACGGCTCGATTGTCAAGCTGGTGTGCTCGGTGACCGGCATCACACTTCCACCTCTCATCATTCGCAAGGTAGACAACCAGAACGTCTTCCTTGACGCCGATGAGGCGGTGTTGCAGCTACAGAAGTGCGCCTTCTACATGAAGGACACCGAGCGCATGTACCTGTGCGTGTCTCAGGAGAACATCATCCAGTTCCAGGCAACCCCGTGTTGCAAAGACGTCAAAAGGGACCTGATCGACGACGGCGCCTCGTGGACCATCGTCAGCACAGATAAGGCCGAGTACAGGTTCTTCAAGGGTGCCGGACCCACACGCGGACCCGTGACGCCTGTGCCGGTCGTGAACAGCCTGCACCTGAATGGTGGCGGTGACGTGACCATGCTCGAGATCGCTGGCGAGAACTTCACGGCCAACCTGCGCGTCTGGTTAGGCAACGTCGAAGTCGAGACAATATACCGGAGTGCCGAGTGCCTTCTCTGCGCGTTGCCCGATATTTCGACGTTCCGCGAGGGCTGGCAGGGGATGTGCTCGTCCACCCAGATGCCCATCTCCTTGGTACGCTCTGATGGCGTCATCTACGCGACGGAACTTACCTTCACCTACACACCCGAGCCCGGGCTGGTACCCGAGACGTCTCAGGTCTCCGGACCCAGTCCGTCTCCGCCCCGATGCATGAGATCCTGAAGCACGCAAATGCACGCACCCACCCGCCGGCACCCGAGGACCACGGCATGATGGCGCAGAATTACGGATACGCCATTGGTTCCTACCCGCACCACCAAGACACGCCGTGAAGGGCGCCCCCTTATCCTATTTATTTGTTTGTGCCTCTTTAAACGGTGACAGGACGTGCGCGGGTCAAAGAGGCAAGCTGTCATGCAGATCTCTTTCCACAGGGTGCATCGTAAAGATTGACACCATCAGTGAAACAAGAGTGAAGCACCGATGTTTTTGATCATCCCCTGAGCTCATTGTTTCGCTTGGTTGATGCCACTGCTTCCTGTACATGAATCTTTGTGCCAATGTTTGTTTTTCTAGGGCCATCTTTTCTTTTCATCCTTAGGATTTGTAGAAAGACGAAGGAAATGGGGCTTTGCGCGTGCCTTTCATGTTGCGTAGAGATACAAGTGTCGGCTTACAATCCCTATCGCTTTTTTTATCCTTTGACACATTCTATGCGCCTATTCTGGAGAAAATTCCTCTCACTGTGATCGCTGATCGGCACTTATCACTTTCTTTGCCAGGTGCAGATTCATTTATTGCAAACGTGAACATATGCAGCCTGTAGAGCTATGCATGGTGGAACGTTCGGCCTAGTGCAGTGCTTAACCTTTTCAATTATCAACGTGTAGTATTACGTAGTTACAACAAAATTTTACTGTAGCTCATACATACGCGTATGAGGAAAAGGGATGTACTCGCTTGCATCATGTTCATCACAGAAGTGTCTCACATCACAGATGTGCATTACAGAAGTATCTGTCAACAACACTTTTTTTCATGATTGATTGATTTGTGGAGTTTAACGTCCCAAAACCACCATGTGATTATGAGAGACGCCGTAGTGGAGGGCTCCGGAAATTCACTTTTTTTTCCTGTATGACATGCAAGGTGCTGCACGAGAGTACTAATTGGGTGGTTTTATTCATGTACTTTTTTAAGTACATGTGAAAAAATTAAAATTTAGTGTGACGATGTTTGCTTTGAAAGCAGATTGATCAGGCTTGATCAGTATTGAAAGCAGATTGATCAGTATTGTCGACGTTAGACAATGGCGGGGCACGCACTCTCCCGACAGGTACCCAGCGAGGAATATTGTACGTCACCCCTCTCGCTCTGCTGTTTGGCTGCTCCCAAGGAGGGTTTGGCTGTGTTCGTGAGAGCGCGCGGGCATCAAGGCACCCTAGCGTGCGCAGGAAATGCTTTTTTTTGGTAAGGAAATGCTTTTATTTTTTGTCTTCAGTGCCTCAAAAAGCGCTAAGACAACGTAGCTGTACTGGAAATGACAGAAACGCATTCTCGGAGTTCCGATGGAATCCGTCTCTGCAAGACGCGGAACGCTCCGTCACGGAGTAAGTTGCTACGATGTGGAAAACGTAGACTCGTTCCGAATCTACTAGCAAAATGCAGATACTCGGCCGCGGAGCAAGAAATCAAGCTCCCGCTTGCCATTATTCTTTAAGAACCGCGCGGTTCAATGAAGTTCGTCGGAATGGCGGTTAAGGCGAGTTTGGGATCCATGATTGCTAGAAATAGGAGTGCATGCCGTTGACAAAGACCAACTAAGACCTGGACCTGGCTCTGTCTGATAAATACCGTGCGTTTTCGTACAGTGGCAGATGCATATGCGTTGAGAAAATGCTCTTTGGCAATGTGGACTTCGATGCTGGGGGGAAGATATATTTTTCATCGGTTTTGTTATGTTCGTTTTGTGGTGTGCTCTTATTCGTATGTGCTTTTGAAACTTGCATCTCTCGGTATATAGCAAATGGCAAGCATTTCTTTGCATACTGAAAGCACGTTTGGCGTCTTTCTACGTATCTGTCTAAATATCTATCTAGCCGCCTACGTTTCAGTGCTCTCGTGATCACACCCTTCACGTGGGATAAACGAAAATTAGTATGGGAGATCAAGACGGTTTCACGAGTACTACTCGCTGGCCATGACATGAATAATGTCATTGTCATCGCGTACCAAACACTTTCCGCCAGACACGTGGTTGTTGACACGTGTGCACATACCCGTTGGCGGGTATATGCCAATGACATGCAGGTGTGTGGCACAGAGGATTTAAGCTTCATATTTACCCAGGACGGTGAAAACACACATTAGTGATTTCAACGCATGAGCGTGAAGAAAAAAATGACATCGCCTGCTTTCGCCGGACAAATGTAAAGAAAAAATGCCAGGGTCCCCGCAGGAATCGAACCTGAGCATTCTGCGTGGCAACCAAATATTCTACCACAGAGCCACGCCAGGTCTCGCAACTAACTCTTCAAGTAAACCATGATGTTCGTGAAAAGTCAACTGTGGTTACATCTTTGCTGGCTATCCAACCTTTTAAATAGTACGTACATACTGCTATCATACAGCAGTCACGGGGGGGTGAACGTCAAGTGGTGCGCCATTCACTGAAGCTGATTTATCTAGCAGTGCCCAGGGCCGCCATCCTCGCTGGCACAAGTGGTATATGTAGATCAGCTTATCGCTTCTGCTGTTGATAATGCCCATGTTTCTGTTCGCGTCGTTATACAACATTAAACATGTGAATGTTTAACATGTGTCTGTGCGTACAGCATTTGCACATATCGTTAGCGTCACTTTGTAATATTTAGTTGAATAAAAAAATGCAACACTCTCACCTTACCTTTGCATGCTTCGCATAACACCGACTTTTAAGGTACGTGAGATCTGCCCATTTTCTCCGTCACAGCTTTTCGACTAAGCTCTCAGAGGGTAGTACATGCTTTTATTTCAAGTAAAGTGTCGGAAAGTGTTTCCTCACTACATCCGTCCCCAATGCAGCGACAGGTTTGATGGCATAGACTAGTTACTGTAAATGATACCTTTAGGTAGCAGAGTTGCGCATAACTTTTCCTTGCGCCGCTCGCGCCGCTGTTCAGCGAGTGCGGTCACGTGATGTGAAATGACGTCACATACTCCAATCTTAGTGGAGAAGCCTACCTTACGTACAAGAAGCCAAAAACACATATTTTTCTGGCTTAATAATATATTAGATTTTTATTGGCTCAAGGGCATCTGAGGCTAAAGAGCGCCAGTACAAATGTTATATGATATCAGTGGTGTAGCATAAAATGATCGTTTAAAATATATGCAGTGTAATGCCATACCTAAAGTATCAAAATAAATACACTGTCTAATATTGAACGCGAAAGTCAATACAATGCATTCGAGGTAGTTTCTCATGGGAGATCAGTCGGCCATGTTCGAATTCCTCGCTGCCCAATTCCTAATTGAGCAAGAAGTGCGAAGGCTCAGACGTTGTTGTTAAGAAACAGGCTGTAGCTGTAATGTGGGGCCCAGCCTGGTGACTAGGATGAAATGATACAACTTGTAAAAAGTTAACTTTTGCAAGATATTTGAGAACTCTCTTAAGATTAAACATTCAGTCGAGTAATAAAAACAGCGTGGAATGAGGTGGTGTATGGTAATGGTAAAGCTCTTCAAAGTGAGTCAGACGCTCTTGGTGAAGCCCAGGGCACTGGATGAGGACATGCGAAACGGTTAAACTCTCTCCACAGTGTACACATGTCGGTGGCTCAGTACCTGTTAAAAGGTGTTTGTGTGTGGCATAAGTGTGGCCTATCCTAAGCTGGGCTAGGGTGACTTCGGGGAATCTATTCAGTTTTTGCGGGCAAGGTTTGGTTAGTTGAGGTTTTACCAGGTGGAGCTTGTCAACTTGTTTGTCCCAATTCGCTTGCCAGTGGCTACGTATTTCTTTACGAACAACAGGTTTTAGGTCCACACTAGCATCGGAGCTTTTATTGATAGTGTGCCGACCAGCTGCTTCTCGGGCATTTTCGTCCACTACTTCCTTGCCTGTGATCCCCGAATGGCCTGGTATCCAGCATAGCACAACAGAAAGTTTTAGGTCGTATGCTGTATGAATCTCACTGAGAAGCTGGCTAAAAACAGGATTTCTGCTGTACTTGCCATAGGACAGAGCAGTAAGAAAGCTTAGCCAATCTGTGTACACTATGAACCTTGCAATGTTGTGTAGTATTATGTGCTGGAGAATAAGCAGAATGCCATAAGCTTCAGCCGTGAAAATTTTGGTGTGTGTATGCAAGGTTTTACTGTTTCAGGGGTCTTTGGCCATAGGCTGCACAAGATACAGATGACTGGGATTTTGATCCATCAAAGAAGAAGGTGGTAGAACAATATTTGTGTTCGAGAGCCAAGAAATGTTGCTCTATTAGCGCATTTGGGCAAGTTTTTGTATTGAGGTCTTTAAAGGACCAGTCACAAGTGATCGGGCGCTGGTTTCATGGTGGAACTACTTTGGCATAGCCAATTTTCTGTAAGTCCTCGAAATGTATTCCAAGTCGTTTTACGAAACGTATATTGCCAACGGAATTGGTCGGAGGAGTAAAGGCCGGTTTAAAAATAGTCGGGTTGTGGAAACATCAGTAAAAAGTGCATTGCATGGGTGCTGTTTCAGGTACATGACTCTGATTGCATACGTGACTCCTAAATAAGCACTCTGATAATCTAGGGGCCACTGGCCTGATTCTGCATAAAGGCTGTGTACAGAACTGGTACGGAAGGCACCAAGTGCCAGTCGGATACCTGCGTGCTATACGGGGTGTAATATCTTAAGTGATGTCTTTGAAGCTGACTGATAGACTATGCAACCATAACCTATGCGTGACAAAAGCAGGCTTCTGAACAGAGATATGAGGCAATACCTGTGTGTCCCCCATGACTGATTGGATAAAATCTTTAAAAGGTTCAAAGTCTTTAAGCATTTTATCTTCAGCTGCTTTATGTGCTGGATGAAGGTGAGCTTAACATCAAAGATGACACCAAGGAACTTTTGATCTTTTGCAACAATTAAGCTTTCCTCATTAATTAGTATGCAAGGGTTGGGATGGATTTCTCTTCGTCTAGAAAACAGCACACAGGTAGTCTTTTCGGTGTTAAACTTAAAACCATTTTCATCCGCCTATTTCGCAAGCCGGTTAACACCCAACTGTATCTGGCATTCACATATAGCCAAGTTGCACGATTGAAACTTATCTGGATGTCGTCCACATAGGCTGAATACGATATC